CACAGAGAACCTCTATTGTATTTGCCAGTTTTTCAGAAACACTTTCAGAATGTGTAAAAATGAACATGTTCCTGACCTGTGCTCTGTCTCCTGCAGTGAGTTCCAGGAAGTGTAGAATTGGACCATTCATAACAGTGATTAGAACAAATGACATCAGTCAGTCTGTGGTGAAGGCTCCGCTGCCGGAGGAAACCCGGATCAGCTGCTGTGGTTTGGGTGCCCCCCGGGGCCCCAGGCATGTGGGGGCTCCGCTTGTTGCTGCTTCTCCCCTTCAGCCAGTTTTCTCTTGCATAGACATGAGGTCTGACTTGATTCTCCTAACTCCTGCCCTCTATGGCCCATTCACTTCACCTTCAGTTAGAGCCTAGGTCAGTGACAAACATGCTTTAATTTAACTTATCATTGGACAAATGCTGTGGTCTCATACTTTAATTGAGGAGCTGTGCCGATTCGTTCTCACATTAGTAAAGTCTGCATCCTTTTCTTAGGCTGAATTGCAGACACTTAAGAACTTCCTTTTCCACCAAAACAGAAGCTCAGCTCTGTCTTGACAGCCAGGCCTTCCTCCTGGGCCCACCTGTTTACAGACTCTCAAATGTAGGAAGACTAAAGATCTGTGAGTTTCTGCTGCAAACACAATCCTTCTTTGACCATGTGTGATGAGAAGTGGTGAGTTAGTATGGATAATAAGCTGATAATGCCCAAACCTAGTTTTTACTTTTAATTCCAGCCACTTCCCTTGAAATACTTTTAGCAGAAGTCATAGCAAAGTACAAGACTGGCTCCTCTAAGAACTTGGATTTGTCTTTACATCTTGTGGTTATGCAAATGGACCACAGGGGCTGTGGGGGGAGGGGAAAGTGTGCCACAGGAGCCAAACTTCTGGGACCATGAAAATGGTCATCCATCCCTAGCCTCTGTACCAGGAGCTGCATCCGAGTTGTCAGGATGGGTTTTGGCAGGTTTTTCACCTACAGTCTCTGGTATAGCCCAGGGCTTCTCAGCCTTGGCACTGTTGACGTATTTTTGAGTTCCAGCTCTCTGCGAATGAACAGACTGTGCATCATAAGATGTTCAGCTGCGCCTGTCCACTAGGTGCCAGCAGCACCCCATGATTTAAGACAACCAAAACTGTCTCCGGACATGTTTAAAGGTTCCCAAGTTGAGAACTACCAAAATAACCTCTTAGTGGTAGTTGTATCTGGTATCATTTTGATATAGGAAGAGAATTTAGTCAGCTCTCTTACTGGTGCCAAACCTTAACTGTATATTGAGTAACTCAGTGGCATTAAGTAATTCACCTGCCTAGGTCTCAGAATGTGAAGTGCGTTTTCTTTACTGCTCTGTTGGAATAATGGGCAAACAGTACAGCATAATAATTAAAAACATGCATGTTGGATGCAGTGGACCTTGGCTAGAAATATGGCTCAACTGCTTAACAGCTATGATATTGGAATAGTTACTGAGTGCCTCTGTGTTTCAGTTTTTACATCTTTAAAATGATAGGGTAGTAGCTGCTACCTCATAGGGTTTCTATTCCTGTAACAATCAAATACCTGGTGTCGGGCAGTGTATGACTCAGAGGGAACACTGGGGGTTCAGGGGGTGACTCAGCTGACAACAGAATAATGGGATGTCTCTGGGACTCTCAGTCTGCCAGGACTTCCCCTGCATTGGGTTCCTACAGTGTGCCCTGCTTCCCCACATTTATCTGAGGTTGATGTTCTGCACTGCAGTG